TGCGACGCATAAATAAAACTGGGAGCTTAAATTTCCCGTTCTCCCTGTGAGCTGCCACCCTGACAGCAGTCTACCTGGTTCGCAGTCGTGGCTTACGGCCCCAGGATTAAAACCTTTTCGACCCTTTACTAATTGTCGTGGCTTTCGTCCCCCAGCTTATAGCCATAAACATTCGTGGCTTTCGGGATGCAGCCCTAGGACTACCCAAACGCTACCAATACATTAAGATAGTGATCTTGTCTGTCTCAAGGGGCTCTCATAGCTATTGACTCAACTGAAGGGGTAATGGTTAGCTGGTCCCGTAATCCGAGGGTCGAAAAAGGTCAGGGATTAAAACGACTCCACTGGTCCCGAAGGATCCAGGTAGTTCAGCTGTTTCTGAACTTGTGTCGTCTGCTAATTTGTCATGTTTACATTTTGGAACTTAACTTCGGCGAATCGGCGAGGCGATTCAGCTAGTAAGGGTTTAGTTTGATAAATATTGTCAAATTTTATGAATCCTTACAATACTAAAATATTTTAAATATAAAAGTGACTAAACAACATCTTAGATACATCAATGGCTGATGTAAGTTTTCACTGGGTGTTGATTCAAACAAAACTACCAACATTTATTATTTCGATGAATTATTAATAGTTTGTGAAAAGTAGTACTCGTGTGGTACGTTCACGGTTAGTTTTGGCGTGAAATCAAATTATGTTTGAATTTATGAACTCTTTAAAAAACAAATAAATTGTTAACTTTCAAAATCAAGGGAAAGGGGATTGTAGAAATACATTAAACTGTTAAAACATAAGTTCACAGAACTTATTATCCAGGAGTTATTATTCTAACTAATAGTTAATTTTGTGGTTGTAAATGTGAATGAAAACGTCCCAATACAATTTAACCTTATGCGGTTATTTGCATGAAATGTGCGTAAATAAAAAACGAAAACATTTAAGTTTAAGATTATTCAAAAGCTATATTATTATTACAACTGATATTTCAACAGTAAACAAATTTCAGGTTCATTTTAAATAAGGAAAGAACCCTCATGTTAAGAAGTACAACGGGATAATTGCATGTGACATTTTTAGAAGGGTAGCATTATCTTTGCATCAGTCATTAATTTTTTGTAATAAATTTAATTGCACCAAGCCAGACCTAACCCTCTCACGTGTGAATTAAATAAACCACAGTGCGTGTTTTTGTGTAATTAAAATGTTCCTGTTTAATTAAAATGTTCCTACTTAATGCAAGTGCATTTTTAACAAGGAAAAGTGTGACGATCCTTGAAATATGTGACTAAACTATCCTACCATTAGTTATATTTTATATTTTCGTTTAAACCCTAGATAAAATTAAAATTTATTCAAAAGGTGTTTATGAATCGTCATAATTACTAGGCTAGGCATAGAGATCGCGGAATTATCAGTAAGGTAATATCCATTGGTATTGGGCGGGATTTATTGGGACGTTGGATCAAAATCCCCCGCGCTACCTCTACACTAGCTCGCTCCTGTTCTGTTAATGTACATACATAATTCAGCATACAAGTGGAGTGAGTTGACAGTAGTTACTAACTAAACGATGGCTAGATTTGAAAAAAGGTTCTTAATTGCATCAGTAATTCACCGTTTGATAAATTATATGCAGGATGTGTACCTCAGAGACAAGGGAAATGCTTTGTAGGAGGACTGTAAAGGACTTCACGCTTAATCTCATGAAGGGAACAAAGGAAAGACGGAATAATTGCCGCATTACACTTTGCTGTGCATTTTCTTTATCATATGCATTTTAAGACAGTAGTTTGTTATAAAGTAACAATTTAATTTGTCATAGTAAATAGCGTTATAACTAGTTAAAACACATAACAAAATCTATTTAATACAAATTTTTCCCAGCGAGATTTTGAACATTTGTAACTTTTCTTCGAGAACAGTCTTTCTGAGTAGAATAACATAGTTTTTTTGCGATAGGGAACACGTTTGAGCCTGGCTCATAAAAACTTGTATATATAAATATATTTTAATATTTTTGACAAATTGTATGTTTTGTTTCAGGACACAAGAGATTTCGGGAGTTCATTCGACATGCTATGTTTGAAATAGTCACTGATAAAGTTAACCTTGCTTCAAAATCATCCTTTCTATCAATTATTTTAGCTTGCACTACAAATAAGACAGAAACCAGTTTTTAGTGCAAAATGATTGTAGCTAAAATTAGCTGCTTGTAGCTAACTACTACATGGACATGGGAAAAATGTGTTGTGCAGAATAAATTAGAAAGTTCATTACTAATTTCAAACTTTTGAGAGTTGGATATGGTTTGGCAAAACTACAATATTGACAAAATTAAATTGAAATTATAAATAAAATAGGGAATTTTATGTGATAGTAGCAATTACAAAATCAACAATAGGATATCAAAAGTTAGTGGAGATGTTTTGAGATGGTCGAGTTAAGCTACAGTGGTCCCAGTGACATGGCGAGCTACTACATCAGGATGCTGACGCACCTGCGAAACCACTCTGATGTGCTGAAGTCTCACGAGAATCTGCTGAGTCTGCTGAATGTGACTGAAGAAGACTTGCAGCTGATGTTCAACAGTTCACCAGTGTCCGAGGCATCGCCACCTTGCTACTGTGGCGGAACTTTGAGAGAGGTCAGTGATGTTGGAGTCCTTGGAGTCTAGACTTGCTAACTCGTAAAACAAATAAAAAACTACAAAGAAAATTTCTAATCCCACGGTTTACCAGAAATTTAAATTACAATCACCCTAGAACAATTATCCCTTGGACAAGAACAAGAATCCCTTGGACAAGAACAATTATCCCTTGGACAAGAACAAGAATCCCTTGGAGAACAATTATTCAAAATTGCAAAGAAGATTTCTACTTTCACAGTTGACTAGATATTTAAATTATATTTCAGTGTTTGAAAAAATGTTTTTGGGCGCAAAATAACTCTTCAGCAGCTGTTTGAAATTATCCAAGATGACCGCTAGCCTCCAAGGAATCTTAAGAGGGTTCCACCCGCCGGCTGGTTACTGCGTAAACATGGTCCTACTAAAAATAACCTCGTGGCATTAATAAAGTGTTTATCGAGTTTAAATAAACTTTAAAATATTCACAAATATCTAGAACTATGCACTGGATGAACTAAAACTTCGTAACTATTTCTTTAAGTATTTATAAAATAATTTTGAAAATCCGTAATTAGTCTTTTTACATGTGATTGTAACTTCTAAATAATAGTAAAATATTAGTGTTAAAAATTATACGATAAATCACCAAAAAGTACTTTACATTATCCTAGTAACGTGTAGGCTATCAAAGCTAGATTGAATATATGCAGCCCTTCAAAAATTAACCAGGGGGGGTGACCTGGTTAAATTGGCAGCATTTTGTACTACGCTTTTGGAACATAACGTACACTTAACACATTATTATTAGTACATTATTATTAGTATGCAACTTATGACCTGCATATTTTAATAGTTAATAGGCTGCTATAACCCAGTGTGTATTAGATAGTGAATATGTATTATTAAATATATTCATAAAAAATAAAACATTGTGGATGATACAGGTTTCCCTTACTAGTATAATAAAAACTCAAAATATGTGGTGCGTCTTGTCCCATTTTAACTGCTTGTCCAACTTCGTAATAAATAATTTCTTGAATCTGCCATTTTTAATCTTCGAGTGACTGCCACCCAGTTGTCCTTTTGGGAAAAGATTTCTACATTTTATTCTACTAATAAAATACCTTTAATTTGATGTGCATATCGACCTATGCATAAGTTTATGATTATATTTCGAATTCTAGCGGGTGCTCCCTTGTATAATAATATAATTGCAAATTCAATGAATCTTTGACAGCTGTAATTCTTGACTTGGTTTTCCGTTCGAGTTCGGTTTTGCGGTGATGTATTTTACGAGCTAAGAACTTTAATATGATACCAAACCCGTCTTATGCTGCTATTTAAGAATTTTGTCTGACTCCTTGAGGGCCCCCCCCTTATAGGATGAAATCATAATAGCTTAAAAGATTACACACATTTATAATCATTACTGATATACCAAATATCATTGCTTTATCTATAATGGTAAAAAATATATTACACCGTTCCGGGACTTTTCAATCACACTGTATAATCAAATACACAGATATAGATGTTTGATGGGTCCAAGCGAAAAAAAACATTTTTTCAAACAACGTATGGCTAACGAGATATTCACAATTTAGTTTTAGTTTTAATTATTTAGCTAAAAAAAACTATTTAATATATCCTAATGGCATTTTGTATGGTACTAATTTGAAGTCCTAATCACAAAGATTATCATTTAAAAACTTTATTGATGGTTTTTTTCATGTAGCTGATGACTCTTCAACATAGTAAAATACATTTCTAAAATATATCTTAAATGAAGATTAAGATAAAACACACAAATAATTTCACATATCTCACTAATAATACATTCTTGAAAACATGTAATTCTTAGTTTTTGTTAATTTTTTTCCATTTAAAATATTTCAAAAATAATTTAACATACTTATAATGACACCTGTTTAAATAGGGGTATGTATATTATATAAGCTAGAACGGATAGTGTTTTCACCTCCCGTGCGGTACCGGGTTAGAATAGCACCGCAGCCTTCTCGGGCTTGTCGTAAGAGGCGACTAAAAGGGTGACCGACGAACTCACTGGGAGTCCCTGGGAGTGCCCCTGTTGTGTTGCAGGGGTTGATGTGTGCTCTGCACTGCCGATGGGTATTCTTAGTGGGTCGTGAGAAGCCAGCCACTTCGGTCCTTGGTCAGGGAGTGCGGCATGGATGTAGAGGTCGGGCTCTGCATTGTGACGGGCGACCCCCGGCACGTCAGGTATCCGGTGCTGGGCAAACGGAGGTCAGGCCCCGGGGAACTGGGGTAGGGGTCTTTGTCCCCGAGGGTATACCCGTTCCTGACTGATTCCGGGCCGCTCCTTGCCGCACGATGCGCTGGAATAAACACGATGGATTTAAATAAAACCCCTCATAACACATTTTTGATTAAGAGCTCAAATGAGCCAGAAAAGACGTTGGAAGTGGAGCGGAACGCTTTTGTCCGTAGCTCCAAGGTGCAGCGGTCGCCACCACCGAAAAACGTGAGAACATCTCCCCCACCTGCCACCTTCAAATGCACCAAGGAGTTCCCCCATTTAGGAGCTCCTTCGGAAAGTGGAGCTGGGAACGGTGCGGAAAGCGTCGGAGATGTAGGTGTCGAGCTGGTGTTGCCAGCAACTCTCCCCCACTCTGCCAGTTCTGCTGTAGGGATGCCGGAGGAGCCATTCAAAGCACCGCTGAGGTCGGAAGGCTCTGAGATGGTGCTTCTGCGTCAGGAATATCTTGACGCAGAGAGTGACATTGAAACCCGGCTCCAAGACATGGAAGCTACGATCAAGGCTATGCTGGACACCTTCCGGACCCAGAAAGCCGTAAATCAAGTGGTCAAAAACGGCATGGCCAAACTGGAGGATGACCTTGGCTTCGTTTTTGCCTGCCGGGTGGTGAGTAAGGCAGCCATGGAGAAGATTGCCGAGAAGGTTGTGTCTCTGTCTGACGAAAGAACACTGCCTTCTAAGAAACGTAAAAGGCCTTCCACATCGGACAGTCCTCAAAAAAGAGAAGAAGGCGTCCAAACCAAAAGGACCACGGTAAAGGCCAAGGCAACTCAGACTGATCTATTGTCTGCTGTGCCCAGATCCTTTTCGGACATAGCTGCAGCTCCTGCAAAGAGCCAACAACCACAGCTACCTACGACCCCCCTTCAGGGAAGTTCCCGAAAGGGGTCAGTCGTAGAGACACCTGGGGCTGCGTGGGAAAAACGTCGTTCCCGAAAGGAGAAGAGGCAGTTGAGGCGGGCGGAGGTCGCCTCTATAAAGAATGTGGCAGTGAAGGCACAGCCGACCGGCGTGGCCCAAACTGGGCCCGGCTCGGTCTCTGCTCCGAAAAAGTCCCGGCCAAAAAAGCCCAGGACGGAGGCAATCCTGGTCAAGCCCTCAGGGGGGAGATCTTTCGCCGAGGTCTTGGGTGCAATTAAGGCCAAGGCTAAGCCAGAGCAGACCGATACGGTTGTACGGTCGATTAGACGAACCCGGGACGGGGACGTTCTCCTTGAACTGGGTAAGTCGAAAGACAAAGCAGCCTTTACTGCCGAACTGAAGGCAGCTGTTGAAGGCCAGGGCACCGTCCGTGCTCTTGAACCAAAGACATCAGTCGAGGTTCGAGACATTGATTGTGTGTCGACGGAGGTTGATGTTGTTGAGGCCCTGAAGAAAGCTGTCCCCGAGCTTGGCGGGCAAACGGCTTTATTTAAGGTGTGGCTCACAAAACCGAACAGGAGTCAGCAGCGGATGGCGGTCGCCGAAATGGCAGACGCACATGCCACGAAAGTGCTGGGACTCCAGCATCTGAGAGTCGGCTGGGTCAACTGCAGGCTCAGACGGAGAGTGGAAGTGAAGAGGTGTTTTAAATGCCTCTGTTTCGGCCATTCCTCCCGAAACTGCAAGGGACCCGACCGAAGCAAGAACTGCCTTCGGTGCGGGGAGGTCGGTCACGTCCGTAAGGACTGCCAAGTCGAGTCCTGTTTCCTTTGCAAAGAAAATGGGCTCGCTGACAAACACTTGAAGCATATAGCTGGGTCTGGACAGTGTAGTGTATTCAAATCTGCACTACAGCAAGCGAAAGTCCTTTCACGAAGATAAGAATCCTTCAGTGCAATCTTGAGCGATCCAGGTCGGCTGACGCACTTCTATGTCAGCTTGCCCTAGAACACGATGTCGACGCGCTCTTAGTCAGCGAACAGTACCAGTACCGTGATAGGGACCCATCTTTTTGGTTCCCTGATAGTCTTGGTACTGCTGCATTCTGGGCGCGTAATGCAGCGAAAGTACAAGTACGGGGTCACGCGAAGGGCCGAGGTTTCGTTTGGGTTCGGTGCCGGGATGTCACTTACTTTAGTGTCTACCTCACTCCCAACGAGGCCATCCGTGAATTTCGTGAGAAGATAGACCGCCTGGAAGAGAGCGTGCGCAATACCACAGGACACGTCGTCGTGGGTGGGGATTTTAATGCTAGGGCTGTCGAGTGGGGAATGACCCTCACCAATTCCCGGGGCAAGTACATTCTGGACTTTGCTGCCAGAGCCGGACTCGTTGTCGTCAACGAGGGAAACACGCCAACTTTCCGGCGCCCCGGGATGCGGGGAACGATCCCAGACATAACCCTTGCATCTGAGTCCCTTTTGCCAAGGATCAGAGCCTGGAGAGTTCTGGAGGATTACACGGGCAGTGACCACCAGTACATTATTTTTGATGTCCTGGATGGTCATCAGAGACAAGTAGCCGCGTTTCGTCAAGTGCCCGTTCGATGGAATATTAAAAAATTGGACGTGGCAAAATTCAATGAAGCCATCTTACGAGGAACACCGGTGGTTCCCCCCGCAACTAGTGTGGCTCATGCAGAGGTGTTAGTTACATCCATGATGGGACTAATCGTCTCCGCTTGCGATGAGTCTATGCCTCGCGGAAGATCCCGGTGCAATAAGCGACCTGTGTACTGGTGGACTGCCGAGATTGCGGAATTGCGTCGGTCAGCATTGAGAGCCAGAAGACTTGCTACCAGGGCCAGAGAACCTGTAGACAGACGTCGTAAGTCGGATGCTTACAGAGTGGCTAGGAGGTCTCTTCGTCGAGCCATCAACCGGAGTAAACGTAGTTGCTAGGAGACATTAAGGGACGATATCGATTCCAATCCGTGGGGCTTGGGTTACAAACTGGTAACCAAGAAACTTGGCACCCGCTCTCCACCTTCCGTCATGGATGGGGCCACTATGGAGAGGATAGTCGAGTCCCTTTTCCCGGCTCACACGTTGCGCCCACTGCGGGATTTCGGAAGGGTGGATGACGTACCACTTTTCAGTCTTGGAGAGGTGGAGGCGGCCGTCCTATCCCTGAAGAACAATAAGGCTCCTGGACCCGATGGGGTACCCGGCGAAGTTCTCAAAAAGGTTTTGACTATTAACCCCTTGATCCTTTTACGCATGTACAATGCCTGCCTAGTCGAAGGAGTTTTCCCTTCGTGCTGGAAAACAGCTAGGCTTGTGCTTGTTGGGAAGGGGAAGGGAGATCCAGACCTGCCATCCTCTTACAGACCTCTGTGTATGTTGGATACGGCTGGAAAAGTCCTCGAGAAGTTGATACGTTCCCGACTAAATTCAGCCGTAGTCGCTGCGGGGGACCTGTCCCCTCGGCAGTATGGATTTAGGATGGGGCGATCTACGGTTGACGCTGTTGAAGAGGTGAAGCAAGCCGTGATGAGAGCTGAGGATTTTAACCACTACTCTCGAAGGGTTGTGCTGCTCGTCACTCTCGATGTGCGAAACGCATTTAATTCGGCGAGGTGGTGCGATATGCTGGATGCTCTGGAGAACACCTTTCACGTCCCGGCATACCTCATGCGTATCATAGAGGATTATCTCCGGTTCCGCCTCCTCTTGTATGACACTACAGAGGGCCCACGGACGATGAGTGTCACTTCCGGTGCTGCCCAAGGTTCCATACTCGGCCCGGACCTCTGGAATGTCGCGTATGACAGCCTCCTGAGGTCTGAAATGCCTGAGGAAACTGTTTTGGTTGGGTACGCGGACGACGTTGCAGTTTTGATAGCTGCACGTAGCGTTGAGCTGGCTCAGCTAAAGCTGAACCGAGTTATGCGTACTATAAACGCATGGATGACAGACCACGGTCTCTCGCTTGCTTTGAGCAAAACTGAGATCGTGATATTAACAAAAAAACGGATTGACACCATCGTGCCGTTGAGGGTAGGGGCCGTTGAAGTCCAGACCGTTCGTTCTGCCAAGTACCTTGGGATTATGGTGGACAGCAAGCTTAGCTGGCGGGATCAGATTTTCCGTACGGCGGACAAGGCCGCTAGGGTGGTCTCCTCTCTTAGCCGGTTGATGGCCAATGTCGGAGGGCCTCGGTCCAGCCGTAGAAGGCTGTTAATGTCTTCTGTCCAGTCCGTACTCTTGTACGGTGCTGAGGTGTGGGCAGACGCTCTAAATAAGGAGGTATATAGGATGCGGCTTGCCCGAGTGCAGCGTCAGGCAGCACTAAGAGTTGCATCCGCCTACCGAACAGTGTCCGAACCCGCCGTCCTGGTGGTTGCTGGAGTCATCCCCGTCAAACTTTTGGCGGCGGAGAGAAAAGCAATTTATCAGCGCCGTGGGGAGGACCAGGCACGAACAGAGGAACGCACCCGCACCTACCAGCTGTGGCAAGAGAGCTGGGAACAGGAGACTCGGGGACGCTGGACCAGGCGACTGATAAAGCAAGTCCAACCTTGGGTTAATCGGCGGTGCGGAGAGGTGGACTTCTACCTCACCCAATTTCTGACGGGTCACGGCTTTTTCCGGTCGTACCTGTTCAGGATGGGCAAAGCCGTGTCACCCGATTGCATATACTGCCCAGGCATTCCCGATGACGTGGAACATACATTTTTCCACTGCCAGCGTTGGGAAAGGCCCCGCCTGGAGGCTCAACAGTTAGTAGGACTGCTGTCGGTGGACACGGTCATACCGATGATGACGGAGGGTGAGGACAATTGGACCTGTGTGTCACATTACATCCAGGGTATTCTCCGCGCCAAGAAGCTCGACCTTGACCGGGATGCGGTGTAGGTCTTAAAGTATCCAAATGCCATAAACGGTGAGAGCCCTGAGGGCTTAGGTAACATGTTGGCCTGACTTGAAGTAATGTGACAAACAATTCCAGGTCTGTGTCCAACAGAGTAGAGGGGGTTTTTTAGTGAGTAGTCTGCGATAGATTCAGGAGTCTCACACTACAGGCTGGCTACCTGTGTGCGTAAAAGCATTTTTACCTCCTCTCCCTTAAAAAAAAAAAAAAAAAAAAAAAAAAAAAAAACCTATGGAGACATCAAAACGAAAAAGTTAATTGGTCCCGGATCTAGGTCTTACAATGAGATCCACGGTAATAGCTCCCTGTATGAGAAATTTGCTAATAGAAAAGTAAAAGCATTTCGCAAAACTTTGGCATAACGGGGTTTTAACCAAACTAATTTGATTAGCAGTTAAACTGAAATGAAAATGTTGTTTTTAATGAGGCGAACTTAGGACTTCATGGTCCTAACTTAGGCAACGTATTTTCAAGAGGGTTTTTTTCAAATATTGAAATGTTGAATTGCTGTAAAATATTGATTTATTTACATATATAAATGTAATTTGCTAAAAAAGTATTTTATATGACTTAAAGCTGTACAATAACCAAAAGTTCATAGTTCTACGCAGTTACTAATAATAGTGTATTTTTCGTAGAGCTCTTGATGGGTGTAAGTCACGTATACAATACTTTTGGTATACTTGGCTATTTTGGAGTGATATTGCGGAGGTATTGACAATTGATGCGTGTGACCTGCTCGAGCAGAAAACGCCTTTATTGGACCCTCAGGCGCCATCAATATCGATAAAGTTACATCAGGAAATACCACATTGTAAACACCCAGTGGCATTTGACATCTCCTTGACAAAAACAAACTTTGTAATTGAAATTGTTTACTGACAATATATTGGATGGAATAAAGGTATAAGGTGAAATACAAACATAAAAATTTGAAAAAATAAAACTAAGTAAGAAATACTGTAAAACGAACGGTTTTTATCTATGTGATTAAAGTACAGTAATTAGGAGTTTATTTCAGTACAAAAATATTGTAAAAATGTATGACCAATATTATATTTGCATGATGTGTATCTCAATGTTTTCAGTATCTTTTTTAAAGTGAAGGGCCGATTTTCATTAGGATATATAAAATGAATGGTGAGTTAAAGGAGAATATTACAATGAATATAAAGGAAAGAGGATCAAAAGCCTGCGGTCCTTATTGCTTTTCATTAAAGAATTATGTATTTCTACAAAACACTAAAGTAAAGTTTTAGTTAAAGCATAATAGTGCTTTGTACTCATGTAGTCAGACATTATGTTTTTGCTACAAGACAATCTTCAGCTACAGACATCCGCAAACATAAGTCTAGTACAATGTGTGACAGGTATCATCAACATCCTCAACATTGTGGTGGCCACACACAGAATTCAAAACAATCAACTGGGACGGGTGGCGTCGTCCTGTAAACCAGCTACTAGGAGGTTACGAACTGTGGATATTTATAGGCATGCACTTTGGATGCGATACTCCCTGGTGTGGATTAACGTCCGCACGAGTGAGTACTACGACCATCCGTAGTACTATCCTGAATATTAAACCAATTCGTATATACCAAGGCAAAAACGTGGTTCGGATTCCACTATAAACTGTAGGTCCCTTAGTTGCCATTAGCTGTATGGGCTATTAATTAACAGCTGTGTCTGAGGAATAAGTCGACCTTAGTCACTAACAAGACTATAAGATCGCGCCACTCATCCTACACCCATCTCCATTCATACTTGGCATAACATACCTACTTTGTATGGTCGCCATTTCATTGAACAGTATTAACAGTACTGTATTAACACTATCCTATCGTAGTATTGGATTTCCATGTTTTAAGTTAGTATCAACTTCATCTACACACACCCAGAATTCATAAAAAACAATTAACACCTTATAATAATCTTGTATTTCCGTGTTCCTAGGTAGTATCCAGCTATAGGCAGATCCACGGGTACTTCAGTCTGGTAGTTTGTGTGTTCGGGACCATCGCTAACATCCTCAACATCTTGGTGCTCACTCGCAAAGAACTCATCAACTCCCCCATCAACCGGATCCTCACCGGCATCGCTGTCGCTGACATGCTAGTCATGTTGGAGTACATACCCTTCTCTACGTACATGTACGTTCTACTTCCTCCGGGTGTCAAGCACTTCTCACACTCAGAAGCTGTCTATATACTCGTCCACATGCACTTCTCTCAGTTGATGCACACCATATCCATCTCTTTAACTCTCACATTGGCACTGTGGAGATATCTCGCTATCCAGTGAGTATTTCATTTTATTTATTTTATAACTGTATTATTTTCTCAAATAATGTTAGTTAATGATTTAGATATCTCTGGTAAATTCTGGTCAAGGTCAAAGCCATCCTGTTGCTATATTGTTTGGTCATAAATTGTTACGACTAACAAATGTGGCACAAACAAATAAACTCATTACTTGATGAAAGAAGACGCAACTGTTATGTCGTTATTTAAAGTAAATGAGTTGGATGGTGAAGTTTGTAAAAGTATCTTACGCAAAGTTTCGTAAATTGTTAGAGAAGTATGCTTCTGATATCGTTACGGTTTAGAGATATATTTACAACGTAATCTTTATACGAATGTATTACATGACTTGGTTCAAACTTTCGTTCATTGCCCAATGTCATTTTCTTAAAGTTTTTATTGCCTATTATAAGGATCGACTTACGTTTTGTTAGCAGTTTGAGCAATGTCTTAAAGAACATAGAGTTGAGTATTATTAACTTAGTGCATTTACAATTTAGAAGTAGAAATTATTCAAAGTTTGTGCTCTAGACAATTTACAATTAGGAATACAGTAGTACAAATAAACCAAGCCAGATTGTGAAACTATTAAAGACTAGGATGATATACTTTAATACTCAAGACAAACTTTTTAACATCACCTAAAAGAGACATTGGCCTATGTTTATAAAATGTAACTTCGTTATAAAACACCATACTTAGGATATAATGATACCTCCCATTCACTAATATAGCAGATTGAGCCATCGCACTACAAGGAAAACCAACGTTTATGCATAATTGGACATAGACCTAACTTAGATTTGCCTTCAGCGTATCCATGAAAAGATACGTCTTCAAGATAACACGTTGTGTACTCATTTTTTAAATATACATGACACATAGAAAATAACGGTAATGGTATTTTTGAGTGACAGATTCCCACACAAGACTCACGCTCTGTGCTCGGACCAGCGTTGTACGACTGCCATCACCATGGCGTTCGCTCTACCCGTGGTGATCTGTATACCGTCCTACCTGGTGTTCAGCGTGAGAGAGACCAGGGTGATGGAACACCAGAGAGTGGTGACTCTCTACCATCTAGACCTCAGTGATCTTGCCAAACAGGTAGGTTGCAAAGAAAAAATGATTACAATTATGAAAGGTTCACTCCATCACAAGTTATGTTCCAACAACAACAAGGTATTTATGTTGGAGACAGAAAGGTTGGGAAAGAGTGAAGCTGTAGACCGTCTTCTGTTTGAACAGTAGGTAGCACAGTTCTAATTGTGATTGTATCAAGCATATTAACCATGGCGAGAAGGAGACACTTTCTTCAAGTATAGCTTGTAACTGATACGCCTAGAGACATAGTCTAACTGCACAGTAAAAATTATGAAAATTAGGTACAGAGTAATGATTGATAGGGGGTTTTAGGTTATGCTTGTTATCAAACTGAAAGAAACTTACCAATGCCAAATTACATAGCCTTTTCGTAAGTATTGAAGCCCCACCTTATAACCTTTTTATGCCACACTTACACTGACTGTATTTCACTTCCTCTTTCTTTTAGCGAATTTCCCTAGTAAAGTAGATATTACTGTAGGTGGCACGGTAAGACCTGGACATGGGATCGATATACTTTATAATTTTGATGTCCCTAGAGGCCAAAAACACAATTAGTTAAAGTTTTTATATTTGTATATATAATATATATGTATACATATACGTATATATAGGCCTACGTCCATTAACGTGATAATTTGAGTTTTTGTCGGATTTTGATGAAATTTGGCTCGAAGATATAAGACGAGATAAACTTGAATGAGTTCGCGAACCAGCATGATCGGGCTATGGAAACGGGGCTTTATGGGAGGTTTTATGGGGTAAAAATTTGGTTTTTTAAATTTTTTGCCCTTAAAACACAAAATTTCCTAATCTTTCCTCTAACCATTTTATAGAGCTTAAAAAAGTAAATAACTGAAAGTAAATAATGGCAAGTAAAAATACCATCAATTAATAATATTCATGGAAAACTAACACTCTTATTAAAGACATTAAATGATTACAGGACAACGAACTGCTGTACACGGCCAACTTCTGGTTGTACGCAGTCGTTGTGAAGCTGTTGCCATGCGCAGTCCTCACGCTGGTGTCCTATTGGCTGGTCTCCGTACTGTGGCAGGTGAACGCGCGCAAACAGCGGCTGCGCTGTGACGTGTTTCCCGCGGTAGCGGCACCGCGCGTCTACAAGCCGGAGAAACGGATGGATCGGACGACCAAAATGTTGGGTGAGTTCCTCGTCAAGAACAAAGAGCAATTTGAGCTTGAGTGGATATTCCATAGTAGGATATGTGTGGAGAACCGAGGTAGTGTGGCTAATTAAAGACTAATAACTATTAAGCTATCATATTCCTGCCCATAGTTTATTCTAGTTTATTCCAGTGTATTGTGTTTTTCCTTTTACTCATTACATATAATGTAATTGAAGACAGTCTTACCTAAAGTTCTTCTTAAAGAAACTCTTAAACTTCTTAACTTCTTAAAGAGCTTTTGTCTAAAAGCTGCCAAATCAATAATATAATGAAATATACTTTTCACCACACTATGATGTTTTTGGCTGTATTACATACGTTAATTGGTGGCTGAAAGTTACGTTTTGCTGGCCATGCCAGCTGTCATCGTAATTTGGGGACCGAGCAGGTTTTTACAGGCCGGGGCCGCAAAATCAGCTGTCCGCTTACTTACTTAAAACATGAATGCATTTTAAATACACAATCAAAATCCATAGCATTGCAATATAATTGTGTTATTGTCACCGTTGCCTAGCAACTATTTATTTTTATTTTTGCTGATTCCTCAAATTATTTCTTCACATAACCTTAAAGTTGTAGTTGTGTTGACTATCAGTGTGCATTATTATAGTGGCGAATAGTGGTAATACGGGATAGTGTGGTGAAAAATAGCGTTCGCACCACGGACCGAAATGGTTTTGCAGCTCTCGATCGATTTAAGTTCTCGACTTCGTCTCGAACTTAAAAACTATCTCGAGCCGGCAAAACCTCATTTTCGGCCCTAGGTACGAAATATACTATTGTATAAAAAGCCTACTTATTAGTGTCTAAATACAATGCTATTCCAAGAATCATAGGAGCCATAATGAAAATGTTTTTACATTTGATCCAGTTGCAGTACTACTGCTGCCCTAACCACAGTAACAGGCTTTGCTAGGCTTACTGAGAGGGATCCTAGGACGATGTTTCCTTACTTCTATGAAAGTTCCCGCATTCTTCTTTATAGTGGCAGTGTTACTGTTGTTTGTCATAGAGATATCACTAGATATGCTGGGCTGAACTAAGTATACGTATTATGAGTGTGCTATGCCCTAAGACGAGAATTTTTGAAGACCTTCTACACCAAATTGCGACGCCGATTAAACCCCTTTCTATCATAAAAAGCATATAACAAAGCTCAGTATGTTCTTTCAGTTGCAGTGTTACTGCTGTTCCTAATCACCGAGATCCCACAGGGTGTGCTAGGCCTGCTGAGTGGGATCCTAGGACGATGCTTCTTCAAGAACTGCTACCACCAGCTGGGCGAGCTGATGGACATCCTAGCCCTGATCAACGGTGCCATCAACTTTATCCTGTACTGCTCCATGAGTCGTCAGTTCAGAGACACGTTCAGTACGATGTTCAAGCCTAGGATATTGGCCAAGTGTGCGCCGCATAACACAGAGGTTCAGAGCACCTACGTCTGACCAACGTCGACTCCTGCCTTTGCCGTCACGGTCACTCTAGAGCTGTCGGACGACTAGTGGGTAACCAGATGATTGACCGAGTGAAGGGTGCTTGATATAATTTACTTAATCACTGGACACTTTAATCAAGAGCCATGAAAGTTTAGTTGAACGTAAACAAAAGAAATCTCGAAAAAAATGGTTGTAGTTTCCATAATACACGTTTTCTTATTATTATTTACAAATATAATTGTTATCATGTCTTTTAGTAAAACAAGTTCTGTGTGATTCTTTCCGTTTAGTGCAGGGATATAGGCTTTTTCTAATGATAATAATAACATCAAATACAATGTTGATTATAACACAATTTTTCCATCCCAAAATAGGATGTAATTACTTCTTGATAATTTTCAGACAGTAAGAATAAAAAAAAAAAGATTTTTTACTGTACAAGGAAAGGTTTTCTACAATTTTTAGTTATTTCAGAATTAAGTACAAAAAATGTGATTCTTCTTTATCCATTATCACCGTATTGTCTCTTTTAAATGAGCAGCAAGACATTTTCAGACTAAAATATAATTTTTTTAACCTAATCATTTACGAAAAAATAAAGCAATTTGTTTTTTTATTATGGAGAAAACTTATTTATACTGTATATAAATATATATCATTTTGAGACGTCAGTGATGCATTTATTTAAGTTTGACTATTTGTCTAAGCCTCTACAGTTGTATACAATTATTATAATTGACTTATTATTGTTATGGTGGACATGAATTAGTGACTCAACCAAAGTGCTGCGAAGTTTTTGTGCCAACGCGGAAAGGACTGTTGTAGCCGCCGAGCCCTCGACTATATCTCTCTTTATCGCGTTGCATGACGGGACTCAAGACTGGACCACCAAATTGTTGTTTAATTGATTAATGTGCGTGTACAGTGAAAGACTGGTAATTTGCTTAGCAATCCTTAGTGGTCAAAAGCTGTCGTTTCAATAGCAAGTCATCAACGTAAAAATGTGCAGTATTATCAAAGACAGATATATGAGCGATTCAGAACAGTGATGATTGTTTATGAGACCAATAATTGGCTCAACGGTCTAAAAGTATATATATGTTGCTAGTTTTATACAAAAAATAAATTGTTAATCGAAAGAAAGTGATTTATTTCATACCCCCATCGATATTTTGTAGTTCACTGGAAGGATTAGCAATGTCTACTTTCAGTTAGCTACTTTTAGCGAATTTCCCTATAGGGAAGTAGCTATTACCGTAGGTGGCATGGTAAGACCTAGGCTTTTTAAATAGTTTTTCATTTTGATGTCCCCAGAGGCCAAAAATTTCGTTCAAATTTTTATATATGTATATATATGTCCGTGAACACGATAACTTGAGTAATTTTTGTCCGATTTTGATGAAATTTGGTTTGAAGGTGTAAGGTGGGATAAACTCGAATGCGTTTGCGAACCAGCATGATCGGACCATGGGAACGGTGTTTCACGGGGGGTTCTATGGAGTAGAAATTGTGTTTTCTAATTTTTGACCCTCTAAACACACAATTTCCCAATTTTTCCTCAGACCTTTTTAAAGAGCTTTAAAAAACAAATAATTTTTTATATCTAAGTGTTTTTGTACAATTATTGGTTACAGAGAAAATTTAAAAAAATCGTTATTTTTAAATTCTCATGTTATTCTTATGGAGGATATTGTAAAATGTTGTTGTAGTTTGTTTGTTTATGGATATATTTTGTTCAAACTTGGTACGGTAAGTCTATTTATTTTATACTAAATTATTAATATTTTACTAAAAACACACTTTTTACCTCCCTTTAGCAGCAAGCCTAGGTACTCATAAAACCTAATTAAATACACCTATGTGTTAACTAAATACATTTAATTGAAAACCAATTCAAACAAATATAAATTCGTATAGTCGGCGGGTTTGCTGTGGTGGGGGTATTTTTAATAATTCTAAAGATAATAGATTATGTGTTAAATACTATATATGGTGAACTGAATTTTATGCCTTACGCACTTTTCTAACTAAAAATAACAACATTGTATACCTTTATATTTTAGAACCCCAAAAATATCCCCCACATATTTTTGCTATAGTAAAATTACATATTCTATTATGTAATCTTTACGATTAAGTCTGTGCGGACTAGACTAGATATAACCACTATAGATCTACATCTGAAACATCTTAGAGACATCTCATTGCAGGCCACTTTAGGAAAAGAATGTTATATTATTAGATATTGATTTGTTATATTATTAGGTAAGATACTTGATATTAGACTCTACTTGATCGTGGATGGGTGTGGGGGTGCTTGGCTGCGAGGAAAGCGCGATATAACAGCCTACTCTCTCAAAACGAAATAGTATCATAGATTAAACATAAGTATGTATAATCCATGATTGTATTAGACTTACTTCTAAAACAACTAAAGACTGGAAAACACTTTAACTAACAACCCTAACTACCTCGACCCCAATCAGGCTAAGCCTAACACCCTAAAGAGACCCAACGCACCCCTTATCCGTTGTCACGACACCCGGCGACCGTCACTTCCCAGCTCCTCACAGCGACTGTCTCCGTAGGTACAACTACAACACACACTTGTATTGCATGTCCAGGATGGCCCGCTGGTGGGAAAATGTCCCAAACGCGGGAAAATTATGAGGGCTCTGCGTCACAATATAGTGGATTTAATATCTGTCTTTAATAAAATGTAAATTAAACAAGAAGAAGAAGAAAAAGTAGTACATTTACACCTTGATTTGCCTGAAATACCAATAAAGACATATCGATCACATTTTATACAATCTTTGACTAAGACATTCCATCTCCAAGTTAAAGTTGTCGCCAGGTTTTTGATAAAATTTGTCTTAGTTGATGTGTGCCACCTACAGTTTTCACTGATATAAATTACTGATTTCTGCCGAATTCACGATGGGTTTTTCAAAATTAAACCGATGGAATGACTTATTTTTAAGTCCACATTTTACAACAGCTTTCTTTTGAATTCTAAAAAAAGAAAAACAAAAACGGAGTTTAAGCGTAACTATATCATATTATCAAACGCATATTTAACTATACTTTGCAACGACGAGGTACGACAACAGGAGAGGAAATATTTCTTTAATGCTATTGTATAAACGAAAAATGTATTACAATTAGTTTCTAAAACCAATTTTATCGAGAACAAAAAACTATACAACCATACACTTGTAGCATGTGCTATTTAATTGTTGAAATTCAATTGTACGACAACGTTAACTTCAAAAATATTTTAACAAAAAAATTGTAATTTAAATATAAAAAAATAATGTAGTTAGTAAACAAAACAATGTTATAATGGAGCTCAAAATGTAGGTATGGAAACGCAAAAAGTTTCTGTCCATTACGAGACTATCATATTGTCTCTTTGACAAACAAACAAATCCATATTATTGGTTCAGGCGTTACTAAGTAACAAGTAAACAACAACCAATTCATAGAATGTCAATAATCATACTAATATTATAAATGTGAAAGTTTGTGTGTTTGTTTGTTTGTTTGAAGTTCAATCACGCATTAAGTACTGGTCGGATTGTGTTGAAATTTGGTATGATGATAGCTCACATTCCTGATTAACGTATAGACATATTCTTACCTCAAAAATTCTCTAGGGTTCCGCCCCAGCGGCTATAGAATTTACCAACAGGGTGCAGCACCATTACTTCTTTAAAAATTTATGACAACAGCTAATTTGAACCAAGCAGCAACAAAAACCTGAGTGTCAGAACTTTACTTCTTTCTATTGTTTAGGCGAAGTGGTAGAACATTATGGCTATGGTAGATGATCTAGATACTATAGTATACCGTAGATTATATTAAACCAAATTTTCTCAAAATTTGTCCTCTCTCATTGCAAATGCAAAGGACGAGTATTTAACTACAATAAGCATTGTATACCAACCCCGTACGAAGGACGGGTACTCTGCTAGTACAATATAAAGTAATTTATTTTACAAATAAATTAGCAAAGATTACATTTGTAGAAATAAATATAAAGGTATAGAAAATACCTTATAAGTCACACAAACCTTTGCAAACACGTAACTGCAAATAGGACGAGGAACTCCATTCAATCTCGCTTGCTGTTTGTATTCATCATATCGTCAATATACTTGAGATGCATACAGAATTGTACATCACAATATTACACATGTTGCTTCGTATTATTGCAATAAACATTGGGTCGCCGGAATTTTATTCCCTGGAATTTTACCCCCTGGGCAAAGCTGACGTCACTATGACGTAGCAACCTGGATATGAGTGGCCAAAAGTTTGTTCGCGGCCGGAATTTTACCCCCGCGGATTTGGAAGTCTAATGAAAGTAGCCAGAGCGTGATTAATTAGATTAGCGATAAAAACCGGAATTTTACCCCCTGACCATATAACTAGCGTTTAGACAACTGAAGATGTACGGGCCGGATTTTTACCCCCGGAATTTTACCCCCCGGAATTTTACCCCCGGATTGTTATTCCCCGGAATTTTACCCCCTGGCCGATTTTAGAAATTGAATGATTGATTTTCTAATTTCTGTTTTTAATTTATTGTAAACATTTCATTGTTTAGTCGCCTATCTTTATTTATTAATTTTGTAATCTCAACTAAGTAAACAGAAATCGTTGTTTAATTTCGATTTTCGGGATTTGCGTTTAGGGCCAACTGTTGGTTAGTAAGTATGTAAAATAAACTGAGTAGCTCATTTAAATGATAATTGGGTGAATATTAGTTCGTAAAGAAACAATAAGGTACATTTTGTTAATTGTTACAATACAAACGAAAACATTGTTTTACCACGTTTGTATAATAAATCGTTAAAGAAATCTTCGAATCAATTACCATTCTAATGTTTGTTTATACGTCATATTAAACAACAGTTGGCTTCAAAGGTCAAATCCTGATACTCGAATCTCAAAATTAAAATCAAAAAAACTGTTCGATTAGTTGATGTTACAATTAAATTAAGATAGGCTACTTAATAATAAAATGTTTACTATTAAATTAAAACAGAATGAAGATAATTAATCATTCTCACT